TTTCTGGTGCTTTCACTTCCAGAGACAGTTGTAAGCACTGTGTAACTGCCTCGAGGGTGCTTGACCATTTTAACACAACGTGGTGCGATCATCCCCCTTGCGCGGAGTGAGGGTTCTCCACCCCGCACGACATGATCTACTCGACCACCATTATGATTACCGCAAAAAAAAAAAAACGGAGGTAAAAAAAACCCCGGCAACCTGGTTGCCGAGTTCACGAAGTGAATTGGCTTGTTTTACAACATCGTTGCAAGCGACGAAACCCAATCCCGATGGCAAACACCGGGGGGGGCGGCTTGTTTTACAACGTCGTTGCCAAGCGACGAAAACCCAACCCCGATGGTAAACACCGGGGGGGGGGTGCATAGGGGGTGCGGAAAAAGTTTAGGGTTCCAAGAGACTAAATTGATTATCGCACAGGTATCGTTCACTTCGCACAGGGGTGTGCGGAGGCCCCGATACCTTTGGCGGGGTACCTGTCGCGGGCCACTACCGTGCCAAGGTAGCTTGAATCATGAGCTCCACTGCTGTACTTTGGAATCGTAACGTTGCTCATGTGCAAGTGATGTTTTAATATTTCTGGAACCGCCTTTTTGTTCAACGATGTGATTATTGTCGGAATCAGCAAACGGTTTCCACTCAATCAACCAAGAAAGCGTACAAACCACACTAGACCAAAGGACCACAACCAACTACGGTACTACTGAAAGAATAGGTAGGATACCGGGAAACAACACGAATATCTGGCCACGGACTGGCAGCAAAATGGTACGTTCCCTGTAGGCCGCTACGTCATTCTCAATTCGTGGCACCGAACCAAACCTCTCCTCCACTGCCCAATTCCCCTCTGCAACCAAAATGTTCTAATGCCAGCCTACCAACTGGTCCTGGTGTGCTGGTGTGCTGGTGTGCTGGTGTGCTGTTGTGTCTGCCTTCTTTACGTTGTGGTCCTGATGGTGCAACACTGCACACCCACCCGAAGTGCTGGTGGGTGTGTGCTGTGAATTGTTCAGGATCGCACACATTGGAGTCTTGGCACGGGGGTGCGCGTTCAAAAACAACCACATCGCCGCTTTGTATGTATTCAGAATAGCACGGGTGGGGGTCATCGCACGGGGTGTGCGTTATATATTCAGGACAGAATATTTATGTCATGTTCCGCACAGGAATCGGGTACATGGCACGTATCGGCGTCTTGGCACCTCTGTGCGAAAGAAAATGAAAACATTGAAACAGACGACCGCACAGTGTGCCAAGACAAGCATTCTTACGGTACTTGTCTCACCCGTTGATGATGAGGCCGCCAACACCCGGGCGAATATCCGGTCTGGTTGAACCACCGTTTTTTTTTCCGCGGTCCAATACCCCGGGTAGGTTGATAAACCCCAGGGTTCGGGCAATAAACCGTTGGGAAAGACAAAAGCAGGCAACAAGTACAGGATAGCGCACGTAGTCGTGAGTGGATGGAAAATATCATAGCGTGTAGGGAGCGGCCAGAGGGAGGATATTACAAAGGAAAGTACCAGCCTCAAGCTAGACAAGTATCACGAGCCGACAAGAAAAAACAAATCTCACCTCTCCACCGCGTCTTCAAGATGTGCGAGCCCTGGGAATTGAAGCTGGATCCCTTCCACAACATCACAGATAAGCTCGCGGCTATGTGGATTGCGTGAGAGGGAACAAATTCCGCCTACTCTATCGCCGGCTTTCGACCCCTTCGCAGCACCATCTTCGGTATACTGCGCGTCATCTGCGCCAACGTATGGTGTGTCCTCCGGCGTGCGTAGAGCCTGTTGGATGCTAATTTCAATCGCCCTGTGATATTGCATGATATATCGACAGATATGCGCCTCAGTTGCGACTTCGCACTCCTGTAGCGTGCGAGAGTGGCAGCAAGTGCGCACGCGGGGGGACAAACAAGCGCAGACATTGATGGGTTGAGGTGAAATTGGTCATGCCGCGAGACTCTTTACCCCGATGCGCCAAACGCGGAGAGGCCCAGCAAGCACCAGACCGTGACAAGAAGCGGCCCGTAACTCGTGCTCAAAAGAGTCATTGGCTTTCCCACAAGTTGCACCACACTACTACTGTAAGCCTCGATCAGTGTTGCAGTACAAAAACAATCAGCTGGAAATGAAGACTCTCAAGGCTGGACACTCATCAACGTACCCCCGGAAAAGAAACTTCTTGGGCGAGGAGCGACTCGACCTCTTCCTCTTCTGCAGTCCCAGTGAAGAGCTTGATCGTTTCTCCGTGCTTGACGACCTCGGGGAACCCCTGGCGAGAAGAAGAAACATCACGGCCAACATCAGCAACACCCGATTGGTCATCGCGCCTATTTGCCAGAGCGTACGAGGTACAAGGCCGGCTGCATGTGATGCAAGGGCCCGTCGGTTCACTTAGGCATCCGTTCGTATACGAGCGAGGAAAGTGCAAATTGCCTTCCTCTGACAAGTCCCACCCATCCAGCGATTCTCACCACTGGGAGCGAATCTCGTGACCCTCTCTCGGCGGAGTCATGTACGAAGCTGTCCGAGAGTGCCAGATACTCGTGAAACGTTTCCTGGGTGGTCGGGAGGTTAGCAGGTGGGGAAGGTCAACATTCACCAAGCTGTTCTTCGACTGAAAACGTGCCGTCCTACGTGCTGAGAATGTGAAGCTGCATCTTTAGACTTGAGATGCCCTGCCGAAGGTGTTATCCGCCGAGCGAAATATCGATCAAAAGAGTTTCGCACAGGTTCGGCCACATGATTTCACATTGCCTCTGCTCACCATATCTCCTATGAAGCCGTGCAGGTACGCCAGTATCGTCCACGCCCTGAAACAGACATGAAAGGGAAGTAATCGATAGCAATGAACAAGGTGATTTGAGCGACGCGAGGAATATTCGATCGACGAGCCTGCCGCTGGCAAGGCGCCACTTGATGCAACTTGGTCGCAACCCAGGCGCGGACGGCAGTGTACTCAAAACTGGTGCGAAGCTGACCGAATGATGCGTCTGCTGGCGAGGATTTTTCTCAGGACGCCGTTGAACTCACTCACTTTGCCACCTCGAAGTTTGTCGGGCCTGAGTATCTTGCCATCGCTTCTTTCGCTCGTCGGAAGTAGATATTCGTCTTCAAAACATACGTGGGGGACAAGGGCGTGTCAATTGTCATAGGTGTACCTTGCAAGAGGATCTACTGCTGCCGGCGACGCTCAGTAAAATGTTCCGGACATACGAATGGGTGGAAAGAGTGTAAGATAAAATCCGCATGAAGGGCGTGGACATCATATTCCGCGACTTTAGAAGCAATCGGTGTCTTCCAAACTGCAAGAAAAGGGGGATTTTCAAACATATCGCCCCCCTCTGGGGGGGCTTTGACGTCGTGCCGACCGAACCATGGTACAGCAGCAACTGTCGCGCAAGGATTGTGAATCCATCGTCACAACTACTACGACTGTCCATGTCAAGCACGCAGGCCCGAGGGGTACCAAAGAGTGTCACCCTCGCCTCCGTTGCCAGTAGTCTCAGCGCATGATCGTCGTTTTCAGGACCGGGCGGTTTATTGGGGTCACCAATCTATCATGGAAACGTCTACATTTTCAGCTCCGCGTTGCCAGCGAAAAAGACAGCCATGTACAAGTCGGTCTTATGCGAAGGTTCCGTTTTTCCAAGCATGACTGCCCCCTCGCGTGAGATTTCGCCTGGGTACATGCAATCCTGGCGCCCCCATTGTGAATAAAAGGCGAAAATCCCCAGGGTAGGGCGAAAAAACATGTGCGCCAAACCGAAGCAGTTTTCCGTTGACAAACCTAACTGCTCGGGCAAACGTTGAGGGTTTCCGAATTTGCCGGGAAAAAACATCGCTCCCACTTTTGCTGTGAACTGCGGAGGGCGCTGGACTCTACAGCGCGCGGTCTGGGCCTACATAACCAACCCAAACGATTCAGATTCATTGGCAACGCTGCCAGCACGCCGTCACTTACAGATTCGATAGGATGGCCCTTAGCGAGTGCCCCGATGGCCACGGCACACCAAAACGTGCAGGTCTTCGGGAAGTCGTCTCCTTCCGATGTGTTGCAGACTTTGTTTTCCAATACCAGCGCGTGGGAATTCTCTTCGACGTCGCAGTCTTCCGTAGCGATTGATTGCTGCCGGGTAGCCGACATCATGAGTGTCACCATCGTTTCGCGTACATCCCTGTCGTCAAGTGCGACGAACGTGTTGTCATGGACGAGAGAGGCGTCAGGTCGCTAATAGAAACGCCGTACAAAATGAGTGCATGAACCACCCCACTGCCTTCCACCGCCAAATACGGGTCAGGTGTCACGGCGAATATGAAACATTTCCTGTGGCACGGAAAGCCCATGTTCCATGGGTTTACCGCCCAGCAAAGACAGAAGGGGAAGGGCAAGATGACCTCCGGAGTTCCGGGAGCGACTGCAAGCCAAGGGTTTGAAAATCGGCCAGGGGTGAGAGCATTTTTCACATACTTGATCACGCAGCTTCTTGGGACCCATAGATACACAGCTCATTCGATCCTGCGCATGCACTGCCGCGAGTGCTCCCGAATAAGCGTGCTCCGGCTACGGCTTGCTATCTCACGAGGATTTACCCCAGCCACAAGAGCGAGAGACAGCGTTAGCGCGGTCGTTCACCGCAGAAGTGCATCAACTCAAACGAATGACGCGAAACCAAGCCTACGCGCATCTTTAATTTTCATACGACCAAACCTTCCGGCAACAAAAGTAGCTTATCCCACACTGAATACAATCCATATTTCTCAGCACTGCGCGAAAGAGAGTCTTCCATCACCTTCGGGTAGTGAGTGGTAGAAATCCAACCGAGCTGAAGAAGCTCGTGAGGAAGGAATTCTCCTGCATGCCCACCAGGCCGGTCGCTGGAGAAGCACTCAACCTAAACCTGGTCCACATGAACACAGCCGCCGAATGGGTTCTCCATGGGTCAGCTCCCAAACCCTGTGGCAAGAGGGCACTCCACGTTACGCTCCGTCTTTGATGTATACCTATGTCAGAGGGGTTCCGACTCCCAGCGTGCTAGGTGCTAACGTGTTGAGGGGGAAGGATAGCACAGGCTGCGAGCAAAACTCGTGATTCTATTGTACCACCTACGTGACCGCTGAATCGACCAACTCACCACCATGTTTGGGAGGGCCTGCAGCCTTCCGGTCGCGAGCCTGTTTCTCGTTCACTCAGACCCTACCTTCGGCTCTCCCTCCTTACCAAGCAAACTGCGCTCAAACTACTGAGTTACATCTCGTCCAAGCGATTGTTGTATTAGCTCGTGGTACTTCCCCCTACGCCCGCACACCACCACCATCACCAATAACAACAACAGCGGGCTACTGTAGTTCATCACTCATTCATCAGAGTCGAGTCTCAGGTATATACAAGCCCGTGCCGCTGCTGTTGGCTCACGTTTAGCGCTCTTCTATCACCAGTCCAAGCTCACTTCTAAGGGCCAAGAGACCCTACTCTACGAATATTGGCTACCACCCAAACCATTGCAAGATCAAGGGGCAGAGATATGGAGGCCGGTTCAGCTGTTCGCTACACGCGTGTTCCTCCTCGTCGCAGCAGATACTCCTATTATTTTCTATCCCTGATTTGGTTGACAGAGTCGATGAGTGCTTTCACCCAAATTCATTAGGGCTAGCTTCTTCACGGCATGGCAGGGCCACGGTTCACGGCTGTCGCCCCTCAACCGGCAACCATCACAAGCCGCCCCCCGGACGTGATTCCCCTGAACCAACGCCCCGGGGTCTTTCTTCCCGATTGAACGATTGAATGGAGCAAAATCACCTCTTGATAGCCACGTCCTGGGAGCCACGATATCTTGCTTTCGCCTTGGTCGCTCCCTCTGTATCTCTAGGCAATCGTTTAATGTAGGGCTTGCAGGTACGCGCTCTCCGCCTGCTGTAGGTGCATCCGTCTTCCATGCCCATGCCCACGCAGCGTCTGTGCAAGGAGGGGCATTGATTGCGACGTGACGCTAGACCGCACAACAGACGAAATACTGGACGCGGGGTGTTTGTGCGGGTGTCGATGTTGTTAGCTTTTTAGCACGACCGCGCTAACGGGCTGGCAAATGACAAGACATTCTCAGTGCGGCTGCCAACAAGAAGGCGCTTCTCAAGGCAATGATATTGGAACCGCCATGGGAGAGCCTGCTACTGTTAGGGGTGTCAATCGGGCAGATTTTGGAGCCACAAATGTGACCGGTCTTTTCAGCGATTTTGGGGGGGGGCACACGGATTGGGTTCTTCTTCGGCTCTTGCGAGTGCCCGCCTAGTATACTGATAAAACACTACATCACTCTGTTTGTGCAGGTAGTTCTGCGCTCACGCAGCAGCGTGGCTCTTCGCACGTTACACACACCTGGACACAAGTCCAATAGAGGCGACTGTAAGCTCGGTTTTCTCTTAAAGTTACAAGCGGACGAGCAACACCAAAAAACATTTTTCTTTTAGCTCTTTGCTCCACGCCCAAGGCGACCTTTGCTCCTCTCGAAAAAGCGAGCTTACAGCCCTCTACCTTGGGTTCAAAGCAATACCACACAACAAACCGCATCCGAATCGCATCAGCCAACTACGAGATCTACATGTCTGTAAACGGCCCCTCCAGGGGGGCTGCAGCACCCACACCAGCAGACCCTCCCCAAAACAAAAATCGATGTCCGCGCCGTTCGGCAGCAGGAGGCGCGCTGCGCGAAAGCTGAATCAAAACAAAACGAACTTTGAAGAGAGAACGGGGCAGTGTATGGTAGCCGCGTCAGCAGAAGATAACACGCGGCGCGCTATCGAACGCGGCAGCCTCACCGTCGTACCGAGAACGCTAGAGGAAACGAAGGAGGAGTTGGTCAAAAGTAACAAAATTGTGGAAGAGAGCCAGTCTAGCTGCAGCATGGCGATGGAGTTTGCGCGCGAGAAAGACGAAGAGCTCAAGTGGGAGCGGGCACGGAGACAGCAGGCCGAGCAAAAGAACAAAGAGGCTACGCGAGAGAAGGAGGCGGCGGCGGCGGGACGGCGCCAGGCGGAAGCGAGAGTCCGCGCCATGTCGAGGGAGCTGGCCAGTCTGAAAGACTCGGTGAAATCGCTCCGCAAAACCAACGCCACCCTCTTGGAGGATGCCGGGATACCAATCGTCGCCGACGATCCTCACCCGGAAGAGGACAGCACCCGCAGCCTCGAGGACGAACTCTTGCTCGAGAAGGGGAAGGCCGAAAGGCTGCAGCGGAAGGTCGACTACCTCGCGCCGATCGTGGACGGACTCAAGCGACAAGTTTCGTATGAGAAAAAAAAGGTGCGTGTTCCTCGTTCTTTTTGCAGGGGGGTTTTCATGTGCGTATTTTTTTCCCTGTGTATGAGTCAACTGGCGCGTTCGGGTATCTGCTCCTGTGCGTGGCTGCTTGAGGTAGCTCTGGTGTCCCTGCCCGTTTGTAGTATCGCTATAGGATGTATGTGCTGTTGCTATTTGTCCCAATGTCGCGATGTAGTTGTACATGCAATGGCGCACGGATTCAAGCAAAAATTGTTGCTGTTGTAAAAAAACTCCGCTTCCGCTGTTGCTACCTCTCTCTTATCATGTTCCAGACGAAGCGAGCCAAGCTGAATCTTGAGGACCGCAAGGCTCACGAACCGGAGGGGGGGGCGGAGCAAGAGGAACCTGAGCAGGAGAAGGGAAAGGGCGGTGGGGAGTTGCTCTCTGCAGAGGATGAGAAAAAGGTATTGGAGCGCGTCATCAAGAACCGTCTCAAACCCGGCGGTAAATTTGGTGAGACTGCTGCCGAGCTGTTTCAGTCGTTCGTGCAAAGGGGGGGTGTCTCTCAGCATGACTCCGCAGCTGCTTCAGTTTATCATGTTCCACACCACGGGGGTGCGACTCAAACAAGATCTCAACATCACGTGTGCCCGCAACACGGTCAAGGTTCTTGGTCTCGGCATTACGCAATTAGATGGGGAGGAGTTGGTGAAAGCAATTCTCCAGGCGCCGTTTTTGCTGATTGCCGATGACGAGTCTCTCCGCAACGGGGACAAGAAGTTCCCCTCTTCGTCGCCTTTTACGACGTGGAGGCGGACGCGCCTTAGTTTGGATTGTTGCGCGTACGTAGCATGAAAGACAAGACAGCAGAAACGCAGGCTCAGCGTTTCTACGATACGATCGTCGACACGCTCGGGTACCCAAAACACCAGGTGCTCTACGTATTGAGTGACAACACCGCATCTGTTTCCTCCGAGGGGAAGGGTTGTGTGAAGCTGCTGCAGAGAAAGCTACGGGGAGAGGATACCACCAAGGAACCCACAAAAAAAGCTACGGGGGGAACCAGCAGCAATAGTGGTCGTGGTCGTGGTGTTCAGGAACGAAACGCGGCGGCGGAACGGGCGGGGGCGGGCGGGGGGGGGGGGCGTACTCTTATGTTTTGCATGTCTTAGCGGTTAGACCATTGACCACGCGTCCTCGAGAGG